CTTTCTTTCTTCCTTCCTTTCTTCCTTCCTTTTGTTTTTTGTTTCTCTCTTTCTCTCTTTCCTTTCTTTCTTTCTTTTAACTTTTTTTTTTTTTCTTCTTTCTTTCTTTCTTTGTTTTTTTTCTTACTATTTTTTTTTTTTTTTTTGCTATTTCTTATAAATGGGAGACAGAGAATTAGAGAGGGAGAGAGAGAGAGAGAGAGAGAGAGAGAGAGAGAGAGAGAGAGAGAGTTCACTACTGCGGGCCACGAACCCATTGAACGAGGTACATAAGTGTGATTTTGGCCCGCAGTAGCGAACTCCATACATTTTAGTTTTGTCGGACGGTTCTCTCTTTCTTTGTTTGTGGCGTCTCTCTCTCTCTCTCTCTCTCTCTCTCCCTCTCTTGCTCTCTCCCTCTCTCTCTCCATTCTTTCTTTCCTGCGTCTCTGTCTCTCTCACTCCCTCATTTCGACGGATGCGTTTGAAAAGAATGGTCTGCTTTGTATTTTTCAAGTTGTGTTGTCTACTGTTATATCGAGTCATGTACGGGGGAAACGCAGATGTACAGTAATAAATACCAATGTATGTTGCCACGTACATATAGCCAATCTTTGGTAGGCGCCCGCTGACAACAAGTATGGAAGTAGTGAGGGCCTGTCTCTCCCTCTCTCTCTCTCTCTCTGTATTTCTCTATATGTACATATATTTCCAGATGTCAAGATTGGTCAAAACCGGACAGAAGAGAAAGTGCACAGTCGAAGAGTGTGATGCAACGGCGGAGCACTTTCTACTACTGGTGACCAAAGAAGGGAAGACGACTGAGATGAACCGGAACTGGGGTGAGATAGTAAAGAAGCAGCGAGAACATATAGACAGGCTAAAAGATGAGGTACATAAGCAGAAACAATTGGCGAGACAGATGTCAGACGAACTAGGCCGTATTAAGTCACTGCTCGTAGAAATGACAGAAACTACGGAACACAGGATGTTCACTGTGTTCTGGTTGTTGCTAGACGATCCAAAGTGTTTAGACATAACCCGTCTGAGGGAGGACATGATTGCCAGACTGAAGGCAATAGATGAAACGAAGACCACCACGTTTGGCGAGTTCCAGACATGGTTGGATGGTGAAAGACGCAGGCGCACCGCTGTCTTGAATCGGTTCGCCGCCCACGTCACAAAGAGAACTCACAGGGAATCACAAGAACTTGATGTCGCATCTTGTGGCAGCCCTGAGAAGTGTGTGCTGAAGGAGGGGTGGGCATCGTATGATAGCCAAGAATATAATACGGGTTCGCTAACTACTTCATCACGCACTGTCGTCGACCTCTTGGCCTTCGCAACAGACTGTATTCGCCACTGTAAGGAAACCGTAGACGAGTACGCTCTCTGTGATGAGGGTGTCGCGATTGGTAAGGATGACCTTCCTTGTTATATGACGTCTCTGTTGAACGGTTGCTCGGACATCATTGATGCCCTGCAACACACATGAGGTAGGTTGTTGGATGGCGAAATGACAGTGACTTGTGCAAACGAAGTTGTCATGGGAAGTGCAGAAGGTGAAAGGACGAAGGCAGGTGAAGAAATCGACGCAACAATGCAGACCTCCACAGGAATCGGGACCACTGTCGGGGACTGCGCGCCTGCACCGCATGCCGTGCTGGCGTGCACAGATGTTGCCACACTGAATTGTCACCACGTTCGTCACAACTTTCCATGTGTCGTCGCTAGCAAAGCACCTTGTGCTGATGCACAATCTGTTACGCTGCCCATGACGACGGACACATTTCAAAAGTTCGTTGCAAAAGTGAATGCGCGACAAATGGCGAGGCTGGTTACGGACTGTCTGTTCCATCTCATATCGTACATCAAAGAGATAATGGTACAGGTCGTAACGAACGCAGACCAGCATGGACGGAATAACGAATGTGAGCATTGCAGGAAAGGACTTCACATCAACGACCGCTTAAAAACTCTCTACACAAGATGTCAAATCATGGCTGCGCGGGTGGTCAGGGACGCGTGATCTCTCTCTTTCTCTCTCTCTCTCTCTCTCTCTCTCTCTCTCTCACACACACACACAAACACACACACATACACATACACACACACTATTATGTATGTTTATTGTTGCCTGTATTACAACTTCTTCGTCCACACTTTTCTGTCTATAATGTTCGCAACCTTTTTCCGTATTGATATAGTTGTGGTTCACTACTGCCTGCCATGTCACTGTCCACCGCTGCTGTTTGTTGTCATTCTGGCCCGCACTTGTGAACCGCCATCTGTCGCTGCGTCTTTCCCTGTCCAACAGCATAAGGTTCACTACTGCGGGCTAAATATCTGTCTCGCATGAGATGTTTGTTGGAGTTGTGGCCCGCAGTAGTGAACCTGTCGGTGTTGCTGCGTTTTTGCGTTTCCAACTACTTTTGGTTCACTACTGCGTGCCATATCAGTGTCAGCCAGTGCTGTTTGTTGTCGTTCTGACCCGCAGTAGTGAACCACTCTCTGTCGCTGCGTCTTTCCCTATCCAACAGCATGAGGTTCACTATTGCGGGCCAATGCCTGTCTCGCATGAGATATTTGTTGCAGTTGTGACCCGCAGTAGTGAACCTCTCGGTCGTGCTGCGTCTTTGCGTTTCCAACTACTTGTGGTTCACTACTGCATGCCATATTAGTGTCAACCGGTACTGTTTGTTGTCGTTCTGGCCCGCAGCAGTGAACCGCTCTCTGTCGCTGCGTCTTTCCCTGTCCAACAGCATGAGGTATACTACTGCGGGCCAATGCCTGTCTCGCATGAGATATTTGTTGGAGTTCTAGCCCGCAGTAGTGAACCTCTCGGTCGTGCTGCGTCTTTGCGTTTCCAACTACTTGTGGTTCACTGCTGCGTGCCATATCAGTGTCAACCGGTGCTGTTTGTTGTCGTTCTGGCTCGCAGTAGTGAACCGTTCTCTGTCGCTGCGTCTTTCCCTGTCCAACAACATGAGGTTCACTACTGCGGGCCAATGCCTGACTCGCATGAGATATTTGTTGGAGTTCTGGCCCGCAGTAGTGAACCTCTCGGTCGTGCTGCGTCTTTGCGTTTCCAACTACTTGTGGTTCACTACTGCGTGCCATATCAGTGTCAACCGGTGCTGTTTGTTGTCGTTCTGGCCCGCAGTAGTGAACCACTCTCTGTCGCTGCGTCTTTCCCTGTCCAACAGCATGAGGTTCACTACTGCGGGCCAATGCCAGTCTCGCATGAGATGTTTGTTGGAGTTCTGGGCCGCAGTAGTGAACCTCTCTCTCTCTCTCTCTCTCTCTCTCTCTCTCTCTCACACACACACACACACACACACACTCACTATGATGTGTGTTTGTGTTGCCTGTATTATTACTTTGTGCTTAGAGTAAATTTATGTCCGAAATGTTAGCTGCTTTTTGCCTCACGACACACAAGTGGTTTACTACTGCGTGCCATATCAGTGTTCACCGGTGCTGTTTGTTGTCCTTCTGTCCCGCACTAGTGAACCTCTCTCTCTCTCTCTCTGTGGTGAGGGGGGCTTGCCGCAGCTACATGTTCTCATAAATGTATGTGGTGTCTCATGCAATAGATGGAAACCGCGATTGCATCGACTGTCAACGGTGGAGAGACATGCGCCATGGAGACGGAGGACATTTTTAAGGGTTTTGCAGATGGCAGCAAGGAAGGGAATTCGGCAGGAGGGAACAACGCAGACTGTGTAGAGGTGCTTGCGACAATATGTGAACAGACTGCAGAGATGATGGGTGATGGTGGTGAAACAGAGAATGATGCAGGAGGGAGCACTTGTGAGACGAAAACGGCTGGGGAAGAGAGAGAGGAGGGAGGTCTGGGAAGCAGGGAATCTCTGACAGGGTGTATTGTGAAAGATGAAAATGTGGTGAAGACATCATCAGGAGAAGAGTACCCATATGACATCAATTGGGTGCCGGGTCGTGTTCAACCGGGTATTGTTGGAGGAGCACCCTGCTTTGCGTTCAAAGTCGAAGGGACATGGGTTCCATTTCCTGCCCTCAAAAAGAATACATGGCGAAACCTGACTCTTGCAATCGTGTTTGTCAGACTATTAAGGTTGAACGACGGGGCAACAACAGAGGTAAAAGCACGATATGCAATGGACGTGTGGCGTCATCTGGGGTCGCAGGGCGAGTTCAGGCTGAACGATTTTTTGTACGACAGTTTTGATTGCGGGAAGACATGGGTGATTGGCGGGAACGACGCAACAGGGAGTACGGCGTGCGACGAGAGCGATGCGAGGAGGGATCCTAGGTGGGGTTGGGTGTCATGTGTGATCCCGATTCCATGTGGCCGTGTGAGGATAATGATGCGTGATGCCATGGGAAATGTCTGGAGCACGCATTATGTGAATGGCAACTTCTCCTTCAGGCACCTCGACAGGAAGGTCTCAGAAGACGAGAAGAAGGTAATGGCATGTAATACCCACACTGCTGGCTGCTTTTTCCCGCCGCTTCGGAACCCTGTGGACTCGGAGGTGGTTGAAGAGAAAGTTTTCACTGGTGAGGATGGCAGCACATACACGCATGCAAGAGGGCAGGAAGCCACGTACGATGGAGTATGCTCGCAGATATGGGACCATGTCACAATGAGGAGTGACGTTCTGTCTGCCATGAACATTGGGGCCCAAGTCATCCCTGAAGGACAGTTGCAGCAGCATATGGCCTCTGGAAAGTATGACTATCGTGTGAATTGGGTCCCAGGATGTTTGCATCCTGCAGTGGTTGATGGCAAGGTGACGATGGCAGCAAACAATCAGGGCATTTGCTCCCATTGGGATGGATGCATGCAGGCATTGTGGAGCATTGGCAGTTCCTCGTGGTTCTGGCACGTGTCTCAATTTTCAGTGTGAATGTAAAGGACCACGTCCTGGTTGTTGAACACGCAAAGCGGTGCTGGGAGAAGATAAGGGAGGAGGAGCGTCAGATGGTGTGCGCGGGTTATGACTCCATGGCTGACCAGGGGATGTGGTCCATGGTTG